CCCCCCCCCCCCCCCCCCCCATCTCTCTGATCTCCTACAACCGTATGTCCCACCACGTTCCCTGAGGTCAGCGGACCAGTTGCTCCTCACAGTTCCAGGAACTCGTCTTAAGCGCAGAGGTGACAGGGCCTTCTCTGTAGCAGGACCAAGACTCTGGAACGAGTTACCTCTGCTTGTCAGACAGGCCCCCTCCCTCTCGGTTTTCAAGACCCGTTTAAAAACTCACTACTATTCAGTAGCTTTCAACACCAGATGATCTGTGTTTTGAACCTGTATGCGCCACACTGGTTTGTCGTCATTAGCTGCATCGTTTTTATGTCTATTTTCTGATTTACTTCATTTTGTATTTTGCTTTGTGTGTTACCTGTTTTTTGTCTGTACAGCACTTTGGTTGGCCTTGCCGCTGTTTTAAGTGCTTTATAAATAAAGTGGTATGGTATGGTATGGTAAAATATGGTGTATCACCGGTTCACAATGAGCTCCAGTCAGGAAGTTGTTTCATTTTCTGTTTCCTTACGGTAGTTGAACTAGAAGATTCATCTTTAATGAAATATTTCCAGACTATTGATGCATTTCTACCTGTTTGTCAAGACTGGGCCTGCTCTGCTCCATCCGTCTGCTTGAAGGAATCCATTTTGTAACCCGCGCCGGTGCGGATCACGTGACACGTGACACAATGACGTAACGGCGGCGTAATGACGTCACCACGAATACTCGGCGTGAAATTAAAAACCTTGATAGGTGTCCTAGGAATCGATGTGTAGATTACTCGAGTAGTCTGTTAAAGCCCTAGTCAGCACCTGAGCCCGCATCGCTGTTTCCTGTCTGGCGCGTGACAACAGCCGCAGGTTGTCCAGGTAAAACAAAACTCTCATCCCTGCTCTGTATAACGGTTGCAGGGCCGTCTCCACACACTTTGAGAACGTACGAGGCGCGAGAGAATAACCGAACGGCAGCCTGTTGTACTGATATTTCATCCCTTGAAAGGAGAAACGCAGGAATTTCCTGTGTTTTGGGATGATCGGTATGTGAAAGTAGGCGTCTTCAGGTCGATGGAAACAAACCAGTCATTTCTCTGGATGTTGTCCAACAGCTGTCTGGTTGTCAACATGTGAAACGGTCTGTCCATGAACGTCTTGTTGAAAACTGACAGATCCAAAATGGGTCTCATCCCTAAGGGTCCGTTTGGGAAACAAGAAGCAACGTGAGTAAAAACCCTGTGTTTTCCTCTCCGTTGGGAACTCTGGAGATTACCTCTTTTACAAGAAGTTCTTGAACTTCTGCATTTAGGAATGAGATTTGGTCTGGTGATGACAGGACCGTCTCTAAAATTCCTCCGAATGGAGGGGGTCGGGTTGCCAATTGCAATGTGTAACCCTAGCTTAACAACCTGGCCATCCATCTGGCTGGCGAGCATGTTTTTAGCCACTCCGCGTAACGTTCATGGAGTGGACGCGCGTTTAAGTGATGCGTCATGTTTTGTACAGATGTCATCCAGTCCACCGCCTCGACCGTCGTCATGTGTCGCGGGAATGTGTTCCGTGTGACCCAAGGCGAGGCTTCTCGAAAGGGCTCTGAACGCGCCTGTATGCTGCGGCGTTCGGACCGCGGGTCCACCTTGTGTTGAGGAGACGCGTGTGACAGCTGATGACGCCGCTGGGCAGCGCGTTTGACGCCACTGCGGAGAAAAACGCATGTCGCTCCTGCCGCGAGTGGGGTCCTGCGCTGGGCTCGCTTTGCAATCCCGCATTTATGCTGACACGAGCAGACAGGCGCTGAGAAGCGGTGAATGCGACTTCATCTACGCCGTGCAGTTTGAGTGAAGGCTGCGAGCCCCGCGGGAGCACGCGTTTTCTTTGGTGGGACGCACGCCGCTCTCGCTGGGATGAAATTCGTCACTGGGTTCGCTCAGCTGTCTCACGCTAATGCTGACGTGAGCGGCCGAGCGCTGAGGAGTGGTGAGTGAAGACTGCCCCCGCCGTGGCGGCATGCTTTTGCTTCGGTGCGGCGCATGTCGCTGTCGCTGAGAGCGAGGTCCTCCACCGACCTGTCCTGCGGTCCCACATTTATGCCGATGTGAGCCAGTGAACGCCGGGGAGCTGTGTGTGCATCATCATCAGCGCAACGCCGTTTGGGTGAAGGCTGTTTGTGTCGCGCGAGTGCGCGTTTGACACCGCTTGGCACCGCTTGGCACCGCTTGGGTGAAGATCGTGCAGCTCGGGTTGACTACGAGTTATTTCGCTTACCACTGTTGTGTTATGTCAATGTCTCATAATGTCTGGAGCAACGGTGAGTTTGAAAACCCTTTATTTAAGGACACGGCTCGTTTTTGTGGAGGATGTGTGTGTAGCCGCTGTGAGTTCATACGAGCTTACAGACTGGCTAAAATCAGACACTTTGATCATTGAATGATGTTTTATTTCAACATTGTGTCATCTTTGCACACACCCTCCGCAGACCGTCATTTTGAATCTTTTCCCCGTGAGCTCTGGGATTTGTTGGACATGGGCATGCTGGGAAAACATTGGACACTCTGTTGCTGGGATGAAGAGGGCCGGTCTCTGACGGGCGAGGCTACAGTAAAGCTCAGCGAGACGGCCGTGGAACGTCTTGCCACCGTCTCATTTTGTGTGGAGGATGTGAGAGGGAGCCGCAGTCAGGTCATCCAAGCTGACAGACTGGCTAAAAATAGACACTTTCATCATTAAATGATGTTTTACTCCAAACTCGTGTCACCTTCACACAAATCCTCCGCAAAAACCGTCATTTGCTCTGCCATTTGTTGTCCTAGAGCGCCATCTGTTGGCGGTCCCAGGGAAACGCTGAAAACTCCGTCCTTTGGCTGCGATGCGGGCCAGCAGAGTGCAAAAGAGGCGCACAGGTTGGGGATGACGTCAGCTGCCCTGCAGAGGGAGCGTACGTCTCCTCCCACCTCTGAACGTGTACGCCAACAGCGCAACGTGTTGTTCGCTGCGGCCGTCTGGAACGCATGCTGGTGAGCTCAGTTGGAGAGCGGTGTCACCGTCTGGGTTCCGCTAACCTGAGGCGCGGGACGCTGGTCCACCTGGACATCTTGCTCCGAGAAAAGTCTCCGTCAGGCTCGGCTCCAGGGGGCACTGAGGAAATTTCCGCTCGGTGAAACCTCTCTGCTCTGGTGATGGGCGCGGACTGTGGAAAACTGGCCCCCCAATCTACCAGGAAAACTGGCTGTGGCCTCGTCCCCGTAGGACGTCCTGTTGGGAAACCGAGGCCAGATGGGATCAGGACGGCGAGCCGGGATGGAGCCCAGAAAAAAACCTTCCCGCCGGATCATCCGAACTGGCGGATAAGGCGCGGGACGTAAAAAGGGTCCCTTCATGTCAACCGCCTCCTGGGTTACGCCGGGCAAACCCCAGAGGGTGCCGTCGGCCGGGAGCGGTGTGATCGTCGATGCGAAACGAGGTGGGATGAGGTGAGCATTTTATCAGCCCCCCTCCACCGACACTACGCTCTCCAGGAGGGAATGAGCAGCGGGGCTGCAGCTGACGTCGCCTGTCCCAGAGGAACCATCCAATTTGCTCCGAGGGTCAGCGATAAGAGGAAAATTACAAGATGGCGTTGTCCAGCGTGTAGCGACCTGTCACTGAGAAATACTCCTCGGCGCTTACCTTGAAACAAGACTGCTCGTCAGCTTCTCCTCGGGGAGGAGAGCTCACCGGGACGACCGGAGGTTGACGTGACGGGCCAAGCATTCTTAACAAAGGTTGGTCATCTACACAACTTTCCTTCTTTGTTCTTCTGACAGTGCTATTAGCTCGCTGAAGCCTATACGAAATAGAATGTTGGTTACGTACTGTAACCCCAGATTATATGAGTATAGGCATAGCCCTTTAAGCGTTGGGCCTCACTGGCCCCTAAATGGCTGAAGAAAAAGCTATTTGGGAGCCGATTACCCGCTCTTAACGTAATTTATACGAACCAGGTGGGGCCCACACAGCAGGTGGGCGTGGACTAAATTTTTCAGTGTGATGCTTCGCATATCGGGATAAAACCCATCAGCGACAGCCTTAAAGGGCGAAGCCTATACAAAATAGAACATTTAGCTTCGTCACACTCAGGCACTCACATAGTTGCCCAATACACGTCTCTCTTGGGGGGTAGGGATCAATAACTTCCTTGCAGACTACTGTATTTTAATTTTTTTATCAGCCATGTTACAGGCACTGTTTAGGAAAAAAAAAACATTTACTGTATTTGTGCGTGTTACTGGTACGTATTTAATTAAAAGTTTAAAAAATATATTTACCTGTAAATATCTCATTTTAACTAGAGTACCACAACAGGTACAGCAGGACAATAAATTTTATTCTCACTCTTGCCTTTGTGCACCCCATCGGGCTCACTACACCTCCCTGATGTTTCCACTCACTTCTCATCCCTGCTGGCGGCTCAAACAAGGCTCTGCAGTAACAACGAACATTAATTTTAAAGGTCTGAGGCTTTTAGGTTTATTTGTGTTCATGGGCAGACTGACTGAAATCAAACCGTAAACCAATTTTGAGGTTTCGATCCTGACTCACCTCCGTGATCCAGCAGGCCGAGGTCTTTGTGATACAGCAGCAGAGTTTTCATGTCGTCACACTGAGACACAGACAGCACACACTCCTCCAGGACGCAGGAGACGTTAAACACCGAGGCAACCTGAGACCGTTCAAAACAAGCACAAAGAGTGACGTCAGAAAAATAAAAGAAATTAAGTTCGTAAAATTAAAGAACTTTTTTTTGGTCAATGCACCTGATGGAACGTTTGAACAGGAAGGAAGTTTTCCAGCCTGTTCAAGAAGTGCCACATCAACTCCTGAAGGTCTTCATCGTACACGGACCCAATCTTTGAACTGAAAACATTCTTAGAAAAAAAAAAACAATTTATTCAGTGAGGAGACATTAAAGAACTATAAAAACAAGAAGACGGAAAAGTAAAACTAGAACTAAAGAGTCAGAAACATCTTCTACTATGCTCTTACTGCTCTGATAAACTGAAAGAGACAAAAACCACAACAGAACTGACCTGAAAGAAATGTTCCCTCTCTTCAGGATTTTTCAACAAGTTCTTCACAAACTCCACAAAGTTTGAGCTTGTTAGCTCCGCCTCTACACCACCAGCCTGGAAGATGATACATTTCACTCTACAGCATCAGAAATAAGAAAACTAAACCCACAAGAGTCATAAAGACATTTAAATAAACAGGTTCAATAAAAAAACAAGATTTTAAATCACCTCCAGGAGCCACGAATCAATGAGCTCCTGCATCCGGTCCAGGTGAGGCTGAACGAGTTCAAACTCAGCGGGAGGTTCGAGTCGGCACAAGTGCAGGATCAGCTAAAGAACAAAAGGTTTTTAAATTATTTATAAATAATAATACAGGGAATATATTTAAAGCTAACTCAATTATTAGTAACAATCGGTTTCAAAGTGATGCAGAAATGGAGTCGACTTTTAGGCTGGACTTCTATGTAGCAGTCGTGTTTTTCTGTATGAACAGAAACATCAAACACATTTACTTGTTTTATAGTAAATGGCAAAAGCCGTGTTGCGTAACCGTTTGATGCAAGAGCTTATTGGTTTTCACATCGGACCAGTGACATGACTGTGGAAGGGCCATTTGAAGCAAAATAACGCCAGGTATTTAAATTTGTTGGTAACTATCCAAATTTTCTTTAAATATTTTAAACCTAGAACCATTTATTTGAAACGGTTCCAATTTGACATTTTTCAGTCAGGTCATCTGGACAGTTCCTTTTTTTTTGTTTTTAAACGTTTCGCCTTCGGTCCGGAAGGCTTGATCAGTCAAGGAAACACACAACACAAAACTGATTCTTCCCCCAACAGCTTATTCCAAAGTGGAACAAACCAGTTCTGCTTGTGATAAGATGGTCTGTCACGTTCCCTCCTCCATTGCCGGCCCTCTTCCTTGTTGACAGTCGTGTCAAACTGGTTGAAAATGACAAAGTCCATGCTCAATAATCCAGGTATACAATCCAACATTTTTCAGTCAGGTCATCTGGACAGTTT